GTACAGTCGACCCCCGTATAAGATCATTGATTATTCCGTTTTATATGAATTCCATGTTGTACGAGTCACTTAGATTTTACAAATACGTGTACCGGGCTGTGAACGGCTCACGTATTTGTAAAATTTAAGTGACTTGTACAACATGGAATTCATATAAAACGGAATAATCAATGATCTTATACGGGGGTCGACTTGTAGTCTATTTGAGGACTTGACGATGGCTGTTTTCGATGAAAAACTTTTTCTACGAGTAGATTCTCAAACTCCCGTTGGATTCTTAAAACATCTTTATTGGCAAAAATATATTCCAATGCTTTTATTCAGATATAATTTCATACAGGATCCCAACAATAAGAATAACATAGGATACGAATTTTGCGGAACAGTTCAGGCAATTCACAAACATTTTTAAAAAAGTTATTAAGTCTAATAAATTTTGAATTAAAAATAAATTTTATTTAAAAAACCTTTATAGATAAATTTTAGAAAATAATAATAATAATTTTTGTAATTTTTACAACATAAATAATTTTCAAAAAAAACTTAATTTTCTAAACTCCAACCACATTGTGTATCATCAATTAATCTCAGGANTGCGTAAATAATCTTGGTTTGGAATAATTGATATAATAGGGTGGTTCCATTAATTCTGTAAAAAAGATATAACACGTAAACGATTATACGTGTTATAAAATGACTTGTTACATAAACATTTTTAAAAAAAGTTATTAAGGTTAATGAATGTAAATTAAAGTAGAAATTTAAATAATTAATTTAATAAGATAATAATTCATTTACTCTTTCGTTTCTTTTCGAGTTTTTTAGCTCTTTTAGCGGCTCTTCTCGCTTTCTCTTCCTTCTCTTGCTGTTCACGACATCTGTGAAAGTTCTCAACTACCACCCCAACAAACATGTTGAGAACGAAAAAGGCCACAAGGAGAAGAAATGATATGAAGTAAAAAAGTCTCCAAACGCTATGATTTTCCACTGGCTGAGGGAAATATAAAACTATCATAAAAATTATCTCTACTACACTACTTCTATTATTACTAATACTA